GGGCTGGATAAGGAGGGCGAACCAGGTTGCTGTGGACCCAAGGCCAGTGAAGGAGCTTGGACAGTCCTCGCGACAATGGGGAGTCCCTAGGGTTGACACCTAGCAGTCTGGGTAGCTGCCGGCTCTCTCGGGCTGTCCCTGCAGTGAGGTGCGCGGGCAGCAGTGGGGGACAAGTGGGCCAAGCCTCAGGGACCACCCACCCTTGTGACCAGTCCTCGGCAAATGGCCTGGCCACCCAGAGCCTCCCAGTGAGGTGGGGTGGTGAGTCCCACCTCGGGGGCTGGCGTGAGAACCAGGCGGGGGTCAGTACACTGCCTTTCTCTCTCTCCACGAGGAACCGAGAAGCCACCTCCCTGCCCCCAGCCCTGCAAGTGGAACAATTACCAGATTGAAACAGGCTGGGCCCGGGAGCCAGCCGCCTCCCCTGCCTGTGCTGGTTAATGTCTCTAATCACCGCAATCTCTTGATCCACAATCCCTGGGCTCTGAGTGGTGGCCAGATGGCTTGGGAGGGAGTTCCGGACCTCTGGCTCCCAGAGGCTCTGCCCTGGGCCCCACCTGAGGGTCTCCCAGAACACCCAGCCAAGCTTGAAGTGGGAGAAACATGGTTGTCTCTCCCATTACCAAAAATCCCAGAGGCAGAAGGATGGTTTGAGGCCATCCTCAGGGAACCTCCCACTCCATCTCGAAGCCTCGATCTAGTATCTTAACAGGTGGCCATCCAGGCTCCACTAGGATGCCTCTGATCATGGGAAGCTCACCACCACAAATCTGAGGGCTGTAGCCTTGGGCAGACTGTGAACTCTGAGAGTTGAACTGAAAAAGGCACTACATGGACTGGATCACATTAAAATCATGGTCAGCCCAAACCGTTAAGACCCCTTTCAGTAAAGTACTATTAGACTTAATTTCACCAAGAAATGAATTTTACTTGTTTACGAGAAAATTCTAAGTTACAAATGTGACTTGCAGTGTAATTCTGTAGGGCAGTGGTGACTTCGAAGGTTGTATAAGGATTGAATGAAGTGAGCATTCAGGTGTTTGGGGAACAGTAAAGCATCAGACAGGCAATAGTTTCTGAGGCCACCAGTCCTTGAGGGATCGTTTTCCATCACACAAGAAAACATGCTCATTCTAGAAAGAGTAAAGAACGTGAAAGAACGTCAAAAACAAAATGAAAGCCTGGGTGTGGAGGCTCACACCTGTAATCCCAGCACTTTGGGAGGCCGAGGTGGGAGGATCACTTGTGACTAGGAGTTCAAGACCAGTCTAGTCAACACAGTGAGACCACATCTCTACAAAAAAAAAAAATTAACCGGGTGTGGTGGTGCTTGCCTGTAGTCCCAGCTACTCAGGAGGCTGAGGCAGGAGGATTGCTTGAGGCCAGGAGTTTGAGACTGCAGTGAGCTATGATTGTACCCCTGCACTCCAGCCTGGGCGGGAGGGCAAGACCCTGTCTCTAAAATAAAAATGAGACTCCCCACAGTCCCACCACCCAAAGACAACTGCTAAACTTCCCTTCAAGGGTCTCTTTCAGGGACTGTCCATGTGAGCTGATGCTGTCCTCAGAAAGTCCCCTTGAACAGCTTGGCCCTAAGGTCTCGGACCTTGAGGAATCCCCACTGGAGGAACCCTCAAAAGGCCAAATGGCAGGACCTTACACCTCCTTTCTTGTGCCTGTGAGCTCCAAGAGTATTGCTGGTCTCATGTGGAATCTGGACCCTCCCTTCCTCGGCTCCTGTTCCTCTGGGCCTCTGCCATCACCAGCCCCAGCCTGGGGAAGTCGGCCTGCTGCGTCAGGTGTCTCCAGCAGTTCCCTTGTCTCTGTCCCCCTCTCCTTTCAGCCAGTGGGAAAACCCTTCCCATTTAGGGGGCAGGCAGGCGGGTGGTCCCAGGGCAGGACTGTGTGGGTCCCAGGTGATGGGACTCCCTCCATCTTACCATCAGTGCTCTCCTGTCCAGAGCCAGTGGGTTCCCGCGGGTGAGGTGGGAGTTCTCTCTCGCTCTGTCTAGAACCCGCACTCCCTCCCTCCTTCCTCTGGGTCTGTCCCACCCCCGTGTGAGGCGTCTGCTTCCCCAGAGGGGCCTTTTGAGGGGCACTTTATCCTTTGCTGAAATCGGTTGTCATCTGCATGTGTCTCATGTGCGACCCCTCAAACACATCTGTGTGTCTGGACAGGACATCAGAGGGGGTCTCTCTCCCAGGGCTTCCAGGCCTCACTGCAGATACAAACGGTCTGGCAACTTGATGTTCACTTAGCATTACTCTGGGAACGTCTTTCCAGGGACGCCGCCACTTCTCACGGTGGCTGGGCCGTGCCTTTCTATCTCACCTGCACTGATGATGTCTTAGCTGGGTCCTGGGTTCTTGCTCTTCACCCTCCTGGCGCGCTTTGTTACTTTGATATCCTCTTTTTGTTTGTTTGTTTTTTGTTTTTGAGTAGGAGTCTCACTCTGTTGCCTAGGCTGGAGTGCAGTACTCACCACCACCCCAACGTCGACCTGCTGGGCTCCAGCAATCCTTCCTCCTCAGCCTTCCAAGCAGCCGGAATACAGGCACACGCTACCAAGCCTGGCTAATTCTTTTATTTTAGAGACGAGGTCTCGCCAAGTTCCCCAAGCTGGTCTTGAACCCGCAGGCTCAAGCAATTCACTCGTCTTGGCTTCCAAAGTGCTGTGACTACAGGCTGAGCCACGGAGCTCGGCCCTTGATATTCTCAAATCTAAGGAACTGTTAGTTCTCCCTTCTCAGGCATCCTGCAAACTTTGCCGGATGAGTTGTGCTGAAGCCCCAGGCCCCCTGGCCTGGCACTCAAGGCCACCCCACTCTTGAGTCTGTCTTCTTGTCCTGTCTGTTACTCCTCCTCACGTGTGACCTGAGCTGCGACCACACTGGCCAGCAGTGTCTCCATACTTTCCAGCTCCCTGCTGTCTTCTGCTGTCCCGCTGCTGAGCACATCTGCTCCCTCTCCAAATCCTCCTCAGCTTCCAAGAACCAACTCAAATGCCACCTCTTCCAGGAAACCCTTCTTGACTCTCCTAGCTAGAAGTGATCTCCCTTCCTCTGAATAAAGACGGCACTTCCCTGACCTCCCTTGCGGTACTGTGCATCCGCCTTGCACGGTGGTTACTTGAGTGCACTTGTGTCCCAGGGTCCTCGTCTGCTTCCCTCCCCCCCCCCCCCCCCCC